TTTTCTCCTTACTTTTTTTTTCTTTTTTCTTTTTTTCTCATTTTTTTTACTTCTTCCTGACCACGGATATCGTTTTCAAGCGTTGCGAACTCTTTCCTTCCGCGTCGAACATGGGGGGGGATCGTTCTGTGTACGATACGAGGAACCATACTCTCACGATATGCGATCGAAGCTCGTTAAAATAAATATATGTATATCTCTCGTTACTTAACACTACTACAGCAGATGCCCGGTACACATCTATCGATTAGAAACCGACGTCTAATCGCGAACGGTTGTCAGCTGTCGATTTACGGATTAGTCGCGCATGGGAAGTCCTTCGTCGGTTTTTCATAATGTTAAATGAATGTCCCGTGTGTAACGTGCGTATATGCGTTATGCGTGTCTCTGTGTTATCCTATTAATATTATTATTATTATTAATATACAACGTTTTTTTCTTTCCATTCCTCTATTATTAGGGTTGCTTCCAAGAAATTCAAGCAAGCGGATTAGAATTAATAACGAACTAAAACGCCCGTGTCGAACTTGAAGCGAGGTCACACCGAGATCCAAACCGTCCGAACGTCTGCACACTTCCGGTCTACGTCATGATGACCAATGGAACGGACTTGAAACGTCACGGTTTCTCACGTGCCTCTCTCTGCCTATCTTTCTTTTTCTGTCTTTCAAGTATGCATCTATGTGTATGTGTGTATGTGCGTGCGTGCGTGTGTTTTTAGTTTCCGCGAAAATGAGTGGCCATGAATCGAACTGTTTCTTCTAAGGTTATTCTTCATTCATTCATCCATTCTTCTTCCTTTTTCTCCTATTTTTCTTCTTCGTCGTCGTGTTGCCGTTTGAACGTTTCTTGAGTGCCGATCGATCGGTCGGTCGATCGGTCGAACTATCCTTCGCGATATCGATCATATAATCGCTCTACTCGAGAGTCGCGGCGAAAGAAACGTTGCCGCCGGACGCGGCCGCCGCGGCGGCCAACAACAGCGTCGGTGGCAACGGCGGAAGCGGCGACGTCTGTTCAGTAGGCGTCGAGGCGGTTGTCGGGCAATTATTCGCGACACCGTATACTTTCGCGTGATTTACTTCGAAAGCCACGGTCAGGTCCGCGAGTCCGGGATCGCACAGCACCGGATTATCTGCAAGCAAAAAAACATCGGAAGATCGCAAAGGGGAAGCTCTTTTTTTTTTTCATTCTGTGACGTGTATCGCGGCCAGATAAGCGAGAGAAACTACTGTAGATAGAACGCCGTCTACCGAGAGCGTGTATGCAAAGTGACACTTAGTTTGTCCCTTTAGAAGACTACACCACCTAAACGACGTTTGTGTTTCGTTGAAACAAGTCAGAGATTTAATTACGAGCTTGTTACTGTCTTTTTAGAAGTCTCGAAGTTGCAAGAAAAAGTAGCAGCGATAGTGACGATTTCTACGTACCAAGAGAGAAGGAAATTTATTTCGATTAACTCTTCTGTTAACAAACGAAATAGAATACCATTAATTTTACGAAAGTTTGCAAATCGCCTATTCAACTTGATTGCTTCGTAAAAGTACAATTTTATATATCCTTTTTATTCTTTACCGAAAATTTACTCTCGATTTACACGGTATCAGTTCATCGTATATAAATAGAGGTTAGGTGTACGTTACAAACTAGGTTGCAGAAAATGTTTGCTCTCGATCGATGGTTGTTCACAATCGAATCTCGAACTCTCGGTAAACACAGGATCGCGCGTCAACGAGTTCGATAATAAAGTGAAAAGCAATGGGAATTGTCGCGAATCTCGGTGGTTCGTGTTCGTTACGAAGAGAAAAGAGGAGGAGTTGTTCAATGAAAGCTGTGAACGAGGAACAGAAATGAGGAGTCTGAGAAATAACGAAGCCGACCGAGATAACGGGATTGGACACGATAACGGCACCACAAAAACCCGTATATGTTTAACAATAACAACAGCGAACGATCCGTCTTCGGTACACAATAAATAATACGAGATGGCGCCACGACGGGGGTTATCGCGTGAAATGTAACTCTTATAACAAAATAATGTTCTGTTCGGGACACCGAACGGAGCCACGTTATTATCAGGCAGTAATTTATTTTCTGCCGCCACCGGCCACACTCTCATGACCCGTTCCCTCTTTCCGTCTCGTTTCTTCTTCCAATAGCCACGACTGTCCTCGCGACACTTAACGACGTGTTTATTAATTACGCACTGGCGCCCATTCAACGCGTCTGCGTTCCACAAAGACGTTATCCTTTCGCGAGGATGGAAATGTGAAAAATGGAATGACCGTTTCTTATCGTACGATCGAGTGACTCGTGCTCGTTCCAACCAGATGATTATTACGCGTATTTTGCGCACAACACGTTTGTTTTATTAACAAGAAGTTAGATATATTACGAGTCCGTTGTTCATTTTTCGATCTTACAACACGTGTTGGCTATATTAGAATCACTTGTTTTATATTTGTCTCGTTGCGCTCACCAATGTCTTCGTATGTCGAACAAAAAGGTTACTTTCCTGCGTATACAAAATTTCTTGTTTTTTTTTTCTATGTAAAAAATTCTTCTACGATAATATTTGTCGTTGTAAATAATTATTACTATCTCGTGTGTCAAACGAATAGACAGATTTATAAATATGATTACATCGAGCAAGCGTCCCTTATTAGAAATAACCTTTTTGCAGGTTATGTTACGAAGACTCTCGTAAGTGGTTCTGTAGTGTATACACTGGTTAATGGGCAGTCTTCTTTGTTAATCTCTTAGCAGAATCGTTTTAGTATCGTTGTTCCAGGGATCGAAGCACAATGAAACGGTGTATCTGGCTTTGTTTCGCGAGATCTGCACTTTAACCGGAATCTTTTAATTTACTCGATGCCTAAGCCACATGTAATTGGTTACTTAATGAAAGAAAAAAAACACGATCGGCAAACAATAACGGGAACTTTCGAACGAAGCGATACCTCTGTGTGACGCGGTATACGCAAAATCGAATACACCTGTGTTTACAATTCTTTTCATTTTACGTTATCACACGGAATTCTGGTGTTTTATCTTTCGATGTTTACATTTCATTAGAACGACCGAATACGTCTTTAATTCATATGTATATTAATGGTAAACAATTCGTTTCACTCGAATGAAAGAAATTTCAATTGACAGAACGAATCAAGTTCGTAGGAATTTGTTTTAACAAAATTCTGGCTGAAATCAATCGTCTGTTGTTTGATAACACTGATAACGTAGCCTTCGAGCTTACCTTGAAGATATATGCGAAGTACATCGGGAACACCGTGCACAGTGCAACGTGTGTTCGCCACCAGTTCGGGCATCAGAGTCCTTATCAGATTCGCGCTCACGTCCGCCCAGCATAGAACAGGAAAACCACGGAAATCCCTCTCGGACAATGTCACTAGACGATTGTGAGACGCGTTCAGCTCTTCCAGCGATGGTAGCCACGCCTATGTAGAATTGTTTACACGGTTACGAAATGGTGTTATTACGGTGATAGATATTTTGTCTTTTCGAAGATGGATATATACATATACATATATGATTATTCGTTATGTTCCAATTTGTTTGTCAGCAAGTGAATTGTTTACTGTGACATCTTCATGATAGAACGCATTAATTGGCTGATCGAGACACGGTAATAAATCTGACTTCGTTTCACGTGTGTCATATATACCTCTGACGTGTCTTCGAGAGTAGTGAGCTCGTTGTGAGAAAGATCGAGCACTTTCAGGCCGTCGAGACCGCGTAGATCACGCGGTCCAATTGTCGGTCCCAAAGCGTTGTGGCTAAGATTCAACCTCTGCATTTCCTTCATCCCGAGAAACAACGAACCGTCCAAGCCTGTTAGTTCGTTATGCTGAAGCCGCATATCTTGGATATTTCCACCGGCCGTTTCCTCGCCCTCTTCTTCTACCAAATTCTGGAAAAATACGAGAAACGAACGGGGCAAATTTTTAGTCGTTTCCTCCTACTCTATCTTCGTAACGATTTGTCGTAATTTGAAACTATTTCTTATTTCATTCTATTGGTGAATATTTTCATTTCTTTTTATTTATTTTTCTATACTTTTCAATTTCGAGTAACGGTGTAATTGTATCGTAGACGAGATTTCTTGCATATTGTTTCTTGTGTAAAAATTCTGACTCGAGATTCGGTTATTTTATACGTACACGGACGAGGAAAATTATACCGGATATTGAACGTGTACCTCTGATGGCGTTCTTCCTCTGTGGAGTCGCGCAATTCTGTTATTTGAGAGATCGAGCAATCGCAGCTCGCGCAGACCACGAAGTGACGCGAACGAGAACTCACGAAGCTCGTTGTGCGTCAAGTTTAAGCACTTGAGAGACCTGAGAGGGTAAAGGACACTGTTGCCCCCGTTTCCGTCGCCATTACCGCCACCCGCGCCGCCCAACGATTTTAGAGAATTGTGTCCGAGCTCCAGGTCTTCTAGCATCTCTGCCTCTATGAAATCCTCTTCCGTCAACTGAGAAACAAAATCATATTTTCTCTTGCAACATTATTAATTCACCGTCTATCCGTTATCGTTTGCAGTCTTACTTCAAATTCGTACTTCTTCTTTCTATTTTCAAACAAACAACAACGTCGTTTTTTCAATTTCTTACTTAAATATTTCATTTTTGTTCTATTTCAAAGAAATTTATGCGGTGAAAGAACTGAGGATTAAATTCAGAAAGAATCGTGTTACACTTCGTGAAACCTTTGTAAATTGATCGAAAAGAAAAGAAAAAAAAGCAGATCGAAGGGAATTATAATGAAGACCATCGAACACACCGTCCGTCCGTTTCAATAAAAATTTAATCTGCGGGACGGAAGCGCACGACATAATAATTACATTAGGATGTAGTAATTGACTTAATGCACGGAACACTGAACGAACGCCTCCACGCGTTATCGTACATCGTGATCGTGCACTTGCACTTCATGCGGGCATATATATCTGCATGTTATACAGGCCATCGTTGCGTCGATGTCAACGTCATATTTGTAGATAATATTTGATAAACTTGATCGAATCGTTTTTCCAAACTTACACACACTGTAACGTTGCACAATGTTCGCACTGATAACGTTGTTAAGTTAGCTCGAAATATGTGTTCTCTTTTCGGTTATTTTTTTTTTTCTTTTCTTTCTCTCACTTTCAGCGAAAAGGATCGAGAGAATCGAAGCGTCGATAAACTTTCCTCTCTCTTTTTCTCTTTTGTTCCAAGTTAAATTAAACTTAATTTCTTTCTCGTTTTCGTTTATTGTTATTATTATTATTATTATTATCGTCAGTGGTTAAGCGTTACCTCTTGCAGATTGTTGTACGAAAGTTCGAGAAATTTCAATCGACGCGCCTTCTGCAACGTTCCGTCCAGGCTGCGTATCTTATTGTGCTGGAGGAACAACGTTTCCAAACGGTGCAGGTAGCGAAATTCCGCTGGCAAATGTGTCAGTTTATTGTCCACGGCGTATAGCATCTTCAGGTTATGGCCAGAGGACGGTAGCTCGCCGTCCAGAGATGTGAGCTCGTTCGCGTTAATTAGCAACCACTCCAGCTGATTCAAATCTCTGAAACAAGATTATAAGCCACGTGGAGGGCGAACCTGTCCCATTCCCGTCCCGACTTCGGAAACGAAAACAAATCGTTGTCTGGCTAAATCCATCGAACTAACGAAACCGTGAAATACACGTATATATATATACTTTTTTTTAAATTTTTTCCAACGATTCTGAGTTTACGAAACACCGAAGAAAAGAAGAGAAGGACCGTTTCTCATACGTGCATAGGGTAATTCCGGGAGAGACGGACCAGGCAAGTATTTCCTACATTGTCCGCCATATGTGGAACGCGTCGGTATTCTTTTGTTTTACGGAAAGCGATCGAGCGTGGCTCTCGGTGTTTTTTCTTCCATATCTGGCGGATAATGTAGGAAATACTTGCCTGTCCCGTCTCTCCCGCCGGTCCATCTCTCCTGAAATTGCCCTATATATTTGCCTTTTATTATACTTTTGTCAAATTTTCTCGAACTTCTCCCCTTGATTCGATCTCGAGTTAACGACAAAGAAGAAGAAGAAAAACAGAGAGAGAAAAACCGTCTCTCACAGCTGGAACGCATAATCTCGAGCACGTGACTGGATCGCAAGCTTAATTGTTCTCTCCTCCGCATATAATCTGCGTGCACGTTTGCTTAATCATTCGGCCGAGTCCGTGGAGCTGCTCGTTGCATCAACGATGAATAGAGCCAATTAAATAAGAGGCACCATGTCGGAATGGTAAACAGGATGTCCGATACGTTCTAGGTAGTTCGCGAACGAACGGAAATATTTCAGTAATGAAGAAAGTGTCGTTACCGTAACGTTCGATTCAGGCTCTGCAGGTGGTTACGGCCGACGTGAAGGTGTTTCACCAGCGGCGGCAACGAACCCGGTACCATTTCTGAAATCGCATTTCCGGCCATAGAGAGATGCTGTAACGTTGGATTGTACTGAAAATCATACGTAAAACAAAAAAAAAAAGAGTGCACTTTCAGTTACACGTATATTGGAGAGACACCGTTTGCGAGCAATAGATAAACTTATCGAGAGAGAGAGAGAGGGAAAGAAATGAGAGACAGAGCAGATTAAAGAGATCGTATTCAGCGGCGAGGACGAGCGCGATTAAACACGAGAACGCGCAACGTTTAATCAACAGCAACAGCCCTCATGTACAAGCGCAAACAAATACACACACACGTACATATGATAAATTGCGAATGAATTATTGTAGCAACATTGCATACGTAGCATTGTTATGATTTTGTTGAACCTGTGCGTGAAGTCTACGTTCCTGGCGGGGGAGTTCGAAATTGTTTGCGGTGCAAATAACGCGTTTCACTGAAACCGATCGAATTCATGTACAACAGTTGTTTACCGTTGCGCCATAAACATTTCTCCACCGATAATTCATCGCACCAGACGGTTATTGTTACGTCAGAATTTTTATCCGTGTTTCTCTTGTTTATGAAACACCCCGCTCGAATGTTTCGTTTGCTATAAAAATGAAAAAACACGCAATTCACTGTAGGAAATTCTTTCGGCGAAGAAATTCCGGCGCAAAAATTTTCGTCGCGAAATATATAGAAGATTTCATTTCATCGATGTAAAGTTCAATTTTACCCCGTATAACGTTATTATCGTGAAGTGAATTCAGTTTCATTGATAAACTCGTTCGTTTCGCGGTGGGTTCGATTTAAACGAGCCCGCGCAAAAACGTCGCGACGTAAAAGTCCGCGAATCGATTTCGAGTGTGCGGGGTGCCGCAAGGTTTTCGCCTACTTCTATTGTTTTTATCACGCGAAACGTGTGGTAAACAGCACGAGGCAGCAGTGAAAAAAAAGCTCTCATAAGTAGCACGAATCGTCTGGAGAACGATTGGCGGACAATTCTCTGCACGTGGCCGGTCACGTGCGCGACAAGCGCCAGGGAAACCCCACCAGCACTCTCTGCAGCGGCTGTCTTCCTCTCCTCGAGATGAATTGTTCGTTCATACCGCCCGGCTACAAATACGTCGCGAAGTCACGCGTAATGTGGGTAACGTGCTTAGAATGTACGATCGTCCCTCCTGTCGGTGTGTTGGTATTGTGAGAAAAACAAAGAAAAGAAAGGAAGGAGCGAAATAAAGAAAGAAGAAAAAAAGAAACTAGGTAGAAGAGGTGAAAAATCAACGCGTACGCTTTCATCGAACACTTTTTTCTTTTTCACCTTAATTTCGATGTAAATATATTCGACATGCTAATCTGAACTGTTTTTGTTGAATCACGTCGAAGAATAATGACGCGGCGGAGCTTTGTCTTTGTACGTAGAACAGGGAAACGCAGCATAAGTTTCATACAGTTCGAGGAGTTATTCGGTGGAAAGGAGATTAGATTTAATCAGCCGCGATAAATGCATATCTTGACAGGAGTCAGCATTAAAAAGGGTCAAGAAAGGTTACATCAACGCTCGTAATTGATCGACATTAATGACGTGTTCACGTTCTTCCTGTTTATAAGCCGTTCTACACATGGACGATGAATCCTTTTTCTTTCCATTTGTCGTTCTCTCTCTCTCTCTCTCTCTGTCTGTCTGATTTACATATGAAGCTGTTAAAGAAGAAAAAAAGCGAGGTATGGATAATTCAAGCTTCGTGTTGTTTCCTTTTTTTGCCTTTTTCTCGCGAATTACGAACGTGAAGATCAGTAGAAGAGACACTTGATGCAAAGGATGGCGAGTAGAAAAATAAAGCTTGGAGATTTCTGAACATGTGTTTTTTTTCTCTCTTCTCGCTTTGTTCGTGAAGAAGGAAACGTAAAATGATTAATGAAGCAGATTCTTATGAGTTACGCGTGCATACCTTAAAGTCATCCGAGTCTATACGGCTTATCCGATTTCTGCTGAGATCTAGGGTCCTCAGCAACGAGAGATGCGACAGAATATGCCTCGGTATAGACGGTATCTCGTTATCCGCGAGACTAAAATACTGCGTTCTTCCCAACCCCGCGAAAACTTCGCCGTCTATAAACCTACAAAACATTTAAGTCGCTCTTTAATTCTATTATTCGACGATAACGTCATTTTAACCCTTTCGCCGTGCCAGAGTTCGATACGTGGCATCGTACGATAGATGTTCAACTACCACCGCGAAATCTTTTGTTTTCACCTAGGTATCGTTTCGTAATTTTCAGTTCGTTAAATTAAGGTGAAAGTACACGAGGGATAGAAATTAAGCAAAAGGCGGGAATTTTCGAAACGTCTACGTAGGCGCGGAACAGCAATGAAAGGGTTAATAATGATATAATTCAGACGATTTATTACGTGGACAAAAATTTCACGACAATAATATGTCAGGATTCTTCGTGATAAGTAAGTAAACTCTAAGTTTGATTAACAATCGGACAGCGGATGGCGTGACAGTCACACGCACGCCGGATGCCGGGTCAAATTTGACCCAATTACTAAAATCCTTTTCGTACGCAAGCGATACGACATTTCTCTTTTATTTTACCAGGCATTGTATTGTTGAAAATTGTACAAATATATTATGATTAAAATAAGAGGTATATTTTAACAGTTTCGAATGACCGGTTAAAATCCGCCAGAAGGTTAACCCTTTGCACTCGGAGATCATTTTGCTGTAGGAAAGGTTACAATTCGGATCTTTGAAATTTTTTCAAACTAACGTAGAAATGAAGTATACTATTTTATTTAAATATTCAATATATTCTCTATTTCACTGTGGTGAAGAAATTTATAGACGCCCATAGATCTCCTCTCTGTCTTCGTTAATTATTTACCAAGTGACGATTATTTAATGTCGCTTCTCAGTCGCCACTCGATTGCAAAGGGTTAATATTTACCTAATTACAACAAACACAAGTACCGCGAAGACAAAAATGTGTCCCCGCAATCTTCGTAAAAGATCATATTGTAAATTTAAGTGGTAAATCTTAAAACACACGCAAACTGATCATTTTTAATGTTTCATCAGTAATTCCACAGTGTTAAATGAATTTAATAAAAATTCCGTAGGAAAAATGGTAAAAGAAATTCCTTTCCTTAAAAGATATCGATTATTTCCTCTTTTTCTTAACGGTGCAGTTCTGTTTCTCTCTGTTCAACACGTGTTTAATGCAGATTCCGACGACAGGATAATTGCGATCTTTCGAGATAACTCAGACAATTCACGAGAAATTACAATTCTTTTTGTCCTCGAGAAATTTAGAATGTCATCCGCTGATAGCGCATTATCTTGGTCCGTGAGCGATCAGAAACCGGGCAACATGTGGCCCTTGTAAACACATGGCCAACAAGCGATACACAATCAATTCTCAATTATCTGAAGTGAAACGAAGTTATCGCCCATTGTCCTAGTCACGGACCAACGAAGTGAGCGTGAAATTTTTCCGTGATGCTGCCCCGGTTAAGGGCAGAAAGGATTGATATTCGTACGAAAATTCGAGGAAATCCAATTGCAACAGCCAATCAACAGTCGTCGAATCGTCTAACCGCTAGAATTTAGAAGAAAAGAAAAAACGTAACCAACGATACAGGCGTAAAAACCCAAGCAAATCGAGACTATCTCCTCGTCTAAATCCTTGCAACTCCTAACATCTCTGTACCGAAACAATTTTTATAACAACATTTATGAAACTTTGATAAAACTAATTAGACTCTATATCGGTCTAAACTGAATTAAGTAACAACGTGTGGCAACTTTGTGTACACACACTTTGCACTATTTGTCACTGCATTTTTCGCTAGTGTTGCGCAACGCGTACAGTCGATAAAACCAGCTGACAAATTCGCGTGAAACCGTATGATAATATCAACATGACAAGTGTCACGTAGAGCGAAAATTTTCGTCGATCGAGAGTGTAAAAATTGTGAGAAGAAAAAAAGAGGGTAAAAAAAGTGGAAGATGTACAATCGAGATATCTCTGTTCTCGATTCGTTGTTTTCCCTTTTTTTACCCTTTTCCCAATGAAATCTGCCGCTCTGATATAGTCACGCCTCTGGGGTTGTGCAAATTCCTTATCGAGGTCCATCGAAACAGGGAACGGACCAATGGAATGTCTAAAACGCGGGCTACGCGCCCGGTCATTATCGTTCGATTATTCACATAACGTTGGCTCACACAGCGTTTCGTTATTTAATTATTCCAGGCAGATAGCCGCGCAGGGCTCTTTCACGATAACACGATCGAAGAGGTCAGGCACGATTAAGATTTCATTCTCCCGCCCGTTATTAAACGATCTCCCTCTCTTTTTCTATCGTTCGCGGTTAAACGACGACGCATTCACGATGATTGTTCGCCAGTCAAGGACTCTCGTTTTCACTCATCCGGCGAAGAGTACCGGCGCGTATCAGGATAATCAAGGAAGACCGGTGTGCAAGCTCTTGCTTTGTGCAGGACGACGATCATTTTTCATTTAGAAAAACAAGGAAACACCCGGCTGTCGAATACATACTTATCCTTAAACCGTATATTAGCGGGAATAATTAATTAGATTTCCTCGGTTTCATTCTTTTTTTGCATTTATTTTTCCGCCTTTTTCTCTTCCTACTTATTCTTCTCTGTTAACATATTTTGCTTTACACTCGTGCGACTGTATATGCTATTTGTACTGTTTTGTAACAAAGGGTCCGTCCCGTTGATAAATAAATAAATAAATAAATAAATAAATAAGCGATACGGATAATGCTAATGAACACATTTTTTTCCTCGACAAATCGAATCGTCATTTTTTCTTCTTTTTTGAGGAATCTTTTTATCGGACACTCGATACTTGTGATAATTTGCATATTTACGATCGGCATTACTTCGAATGTTGTCGTATTTGATTCGCAATGAAATTTTTTCGTTTTTTTTCACAGAGATTCGACACAATGTTGACTAGCTTCTGGATGTTAAAAAATTTTCGCCTCTCGCCCCTGTTTTATCGTCGTATTATTTAATACTTTATCTGAGACAGCGGTGAAAAATATATATAAAAGCAAATAGTATCTTCGGGAGATAAATGAGGACAAAGATTATGGTAATTGCTTCAAATAGTATTATACACGTGCATTAAAACAAATGTATTATAAATCGAAGGACATCGTTGTTTCACCTGATACTAGTGCCTGTACGTACGACGAGTTTATTTCCATTTCTCCTCGTCAGACGGTTTCTATTCTCTCTCCCTTTTGATTGCGATCCGAAAGGATTTTTGCCGCATTGCGTGTCACGTGTACGCTAGCTGCTTTGCAAAATAATTACACTAATTGGAATCGCTTCTTTGTTGTACATATAAACATCTTTACTGAATGCGCGCAGCATCAGACGATGACCTTTTGCCGAAGATTTATTGTCATTCGTATCAATAATGTATGTAGTTCATTTACACGCGTGCTTCTTCTATGAGTTTTGAATGAGAAATGTTTTCACGTAAGAAACACCTACGAGAAATTTCTACTTAACAACCTTGAAAAATTTCATTTCTTCACCTTGGGTGAAGAGTTGCAGCGATAATACGTCCAGTGATTAAGGAATTTTATGGTCAGACAAGCGAAATATAGTCAGACAACGCGTCGAAGATCGCGACGTGCGAAGCGAAATATTAACAACGACGTTTGATAATCCTTCGATTGATAATTTCGAGAAACGAACATTTTTCAGATTTACACGGACAATAATGGAAATGTCGTATTTTTTAAACGAACAAATACTAGCGATCGAGAGCTTTTCGCTGAAATTGACGGACACCTTTATCCGTTGAAAGTTCAATCGACGAAGAAATCACGTGAATAAATTAGAAAGAGGGAAATAATGTTGAGAAATAGTTGAAAACATCTAGAAAGACGATATGTAGTTGGCCGATCCTACGTGTATGCGCGTGGTTAGAGTAAGCGTGGCTGATATCACTTATCCACGCGTCACTATCGTCGTCACACGATTTTCTTCATCAACACCGCGAGAGAGCTCGAAGAATTTCCTCGGTTTTACGTCTTCCACGAAATAATCGAGGAAGATTCCTTGAAAACCGCGAGGTCGATCGTGAGCGAAAGTATTCATTCCACCACATTCACTGAACGCTTTGTTTCAAACCGATCGAAACCGAGTCATACATTTCTGTTAAGGGAAACTGCTTAGATTCCTGCACGTTCGACACCTTGGAGAACTCGCAATTAAGTAACTCGTTACTTCCCATTTTAAATGTACACTCTAACGTAACTAACGAACGTAAGAGTAAAGAAAAAAAAAAAACAGAACGTACCGTTACACGTGATTACAAAGAAACGCTTGAAAAAACAACGAACAAAATAGAGGAGAAAAGTGTCACTTGTTGAAAAATCGAACTTAAAGGAAGTAACGTAGAAGAACTAACGGAATAAGATGAATCTTAACACGTGATACTTCTCTATGATCATTTCTTCGAAGTAACACTGGAATACGATTAAAAAAGAGAAACGAAGAACGATTTTTCTATTACATATTACAAAACACTGGATAATAAAAATTGCAACAGAAAATATACAACTCTTTTCGAGAGAAAAATTGGCAAGCTGGACAGCCCCCGGATTCGATGCATGTAAACTTACACTCACCCTAGATGATCGTGGTTCAGCTCAAGCCTCGTGATCGACATCCGCAGCTCTTTAAAATCGTGCCGCGATATATCCCTGAGATTCGAATGTGAAACTCGAAGGGTGATTTGTTGTTCAGCGGTGAATTTGCCCCGTAATGCCCCTGCCACTTGTTCGAAAGAGTCCATCCGTTCGCATACAACCTCGATACGTTCCCCGTGTCCATGGTGACCGGCATTATTTGCGGTGTTCGCAGCAGCCGCGGCTGCAGCGGCCGCTGTCGCAGCCTGTGCCGGATTGATAACGGAACTGGAGAACTCTTCCTGTCGGCAGGTGCACGGGCTTATCTCGCGGCGTACAGCACAATGAAGGCTCGTGCTAGCCGCTAGCCCTAGAAGCGTGTAAAGCAGCCCCGACATGGTGGTTCGTACGTCAAAACGTGGTCGCGTTGCTGATCACCATCCAAACGGCCCGTTAGAAAGGTCTCCGCTCTTCGACAGAGCTGATCTTTCTACGGTCCGCACGGACCATGCGCAACCCCCTTCCGATACCAACCACCTTCCGCTGCTGCCTTCTTGTTCTTCTCTTCCAATCTATGCGTCTCTTTCACTACCGTTCAATCTTCGACACTTTGACACGGATTCTTCTTGATATCGACTACTTGGGGGGGTCACTGAACACAGTGGACAATTTTGACAATCACTCGACGATAAAAATGTCTCTTTTTTTTCTTTCTTTTCACTTCAAGATGAAAATGTTAGAAAAATACTATCGAAATGAATTGTTCTATTTTGGTAAGATTTAGCAAACGATTCAAGTATAGAAGGCGATTTCTTTCTTTTTTTTTTTTTTGTTTAAAGAATCATTTAGTGGATCGATACGAAGGCTAGAAGAGGGAAGTGGTAGCAAAAATGTTCTCTTCTGTGTGATAAAATAGATAGGGGTTGAATATACTATCAGGATCGATTAGATTGTAATAAAAAGCGGCTCGCGAACGACACTCTCTGGTTTACTCTCTGTTCACCGGACACTAACTCTAGACTGACACTGGCCGGACACGACTGACAGCTACGTATTATCTACACTGTCGCGATCCACATCCCAGACGGGGTATATATATTCACTGCTGAAACGCGGGTGAAAGCTGGCTGCTGTGTATCTATCTCCGTTTTTCTCTCTTTCTTTTTCTCGTTCGTGCCGGACACGAAGGAGGCTTATCGTCGCCAATGGGCCCTCCTCTTGGCGCCACGAACGCGGCAACGGCATTAAGCCGCGGCGCGCCGCGCGAGACTTACTTATAGTCGCAACGTCGTGCCGTGGCGCGGCGCGGCGCCGCGCCTCCGGGAGGGACTCCGACTTCTCTCAGGACTCGTACATTATGTGCGTACCACCGCGAGTTTCAGTCTCTCTCTCCTCTTTTGCCCGTTTCCTCTCGCTTTCCCTCCTCCGTTCTTCTCCTTTTTATCGGTGACCGTCGATCTATGTATCTCGTGTGTTTCGCTCGGACCGCAAGCAACCGGAAGCACTGCACGTGAAACGAACACGCGTACTACTCCCTTGCTTTCGTCGAGTAGCTTCCACATCGACCACGAGTCTCGGGGGGTACGCGTGATCCTCGCGTGTCCTCTCGATCATGATGATGACGTTCATCTTTCAAATGATCCTAATTTTTTTTTTTTTTTTTTTCTTCAAAAGGATCACTTCCTTTTTTTCTCCTTTTTTCCCCTTCTTTCTTGTTTCCGTAATTCACCGATCTCAGTAGATATCTCAGTTCTCTCCTCTCTTCTTCAGGTATGATTCACTGGAAAATAATTGACTGATATATAGTATAAGTCTCGTTATTGTAGCGTTAATGAGAAAAAATTGTTAGGATGACGCGATCGAGACTTTTCCTCGACAAAGGCACCAGACACGACTAGCGTGAACGTTTTCACGCGAGACAGCAAGAAGTCCCGACGATCCCTCGATGCCGGCGCACTGCATATGCGAAGGCGGTGTTTGCACCGATAACGAGAGCATTGCTCAACTTTTGACCTTTGCTTAGCCGCTCCGGGGTACACAGGCTGAAAGAAAATACCAGATAATTCGCTCGTGGGTCCCTCTCT